GCTTTTATTTCAATCGTAACCTTTACGTCGTGGCATGTGTAGGCTGTAAGCAGATTTTAGTGCATGGTTTATGTTCTAGTTGACATTTTTTTGCACTCGTGGCAGTTACGGTGTGCACACGTGTCTCCCAGTTGCCATATATGCTTCGAATGTTGTTTTAATGGAGGTCTTGCATGGGGGAATTCCAGTGTAGAGTTGTTTATGATCTCAAGACGTTGAAGGGCTGAATGAGGAGTGGTGGTGGTAAGGCTGGGATAGGGAGATGGGAGGAGGGGAGGGGGGTGAGTCACATGTGAGGAAATTTCCCACACCCTTCTGATGTGGGAAATGGGAAAGGTTGCATCATGTTTGGGTGTGCTAGGGGTGCGGTGGTTGTTTTTGCACCAATTGATTAGTCTTTATGGTGTGGATGTACTAAGCTTGGGCAAGTTGAAGATGTTTATGTAAAGGACCATAGGGAGCAGTCATTGGTTCAAGAAAATATCTACAGACATGAACGGAAACTATGCAGATAGAAGTAAAAGGTCGCAGAATATGCCTCTTACAGCCCAAGTCCACTTGGTGCTCTGGAGCTTCTGCTTTATCGTTCCGTGCATTTTGAGATGGACATTTTCAGGGGATGTTAAACCCTTCCCTTAGGCATCGCCAAAAGGCACGCCCAGTCGCAGTAATTTAGATTGTTGAGTAAAGTTTGCGATATGGAGTTCATGACAACCTCAGGTAATTGGGTTAATACCTTAAAGAATTACCCCAAATTGATGAATGTAAATAGGATTAGGTATTTGTTACTGAGAGCAGCGCACCCTTCTGAAACTTAGTCCCATAACCAGGGTTTCACGAGAACCCAAAAGCTGAAATCTAATCTTTCTACCTTTTTGTTTGTGCCAACTTCAAGAAAACAGACATTAGGAACTGTGTATGAGGGTATTGTGGGCTTGGTATTTGGTATGCAGTGCCTATTGTTTGTCATTTCATTGTGCATAAGAGGCAGTAGCAGTTTCACCTATGTTGTTGGACTTGTTTCTTATACTCGGTATGATATCCATTTCCCTCTTGTCTGCTTATGGTAACAGCCTAAGTTTGTTTTACATTGAATCTTTTAGACTACAGCATATGGTAATCGTTACAGTGCAGACACACTGGTCAGAGATTTAGTCCCCAATATCACATCTTAGAATATATTCATTGATCTAAATAGCCACCCACCCAACACTCATGGGAAACATTGTCTTCACCTCGGTATGCTCGGCAAGACTGAGCTAGAACTTAAGAGCAGAGCATTTCAGTCATTTACCTTCATTTCTGGCATTACCGTTTGTGGCAACAGATTTCTTGTGCCAACAACTACAACTTGTCCGTGACAAGGATATATATTCAAATAGCTTGAACATTTGTTCATAAAAATAGACATAGGTACATAGATGTATTTAAAGATGCATAATGTAAGGTCTTTGTTTCATTTTATTGATTTATTAAGTACTGGTAAACTATTAATGTCATGGTTTATTTGTTTTGTGCTCTGTAAAGAGATAGTAGTAGTTTCAAGGTATGGTGAATTGCGATTGTTGCGTTTATCAGTTTTTATCTGTGGGCTGTCTTAAAATGTTTTCCAAGAACATTTGGTTTCATAGCAAATGTTGACAATAGAATAGTTGCCTTCAGTGGCAGAATCCTAAACTACAAATAAATGAATGGATGAATTAACCCCAACCTTAATGCACAAAGTTAGACTATAGAACGAAGAAAAATCAGCTCAATCCATGCAAGAAAGACTACTATTGTGTAATGATTACACAATTTTGGCCACATCATGATAGGGTCAGAACTAAATTCTAGATTGTCTTTAAAAAGGGATTATAATCCTTTATGCTATTATTATTTATCTAAATATACTTATTTTACCTAATGGGCAATTACCTTGTCGTTTCATCTTTGTGAATTTTTATTTTAAATATTAACCTCGGTAATTATCTATAGTTGGACTATTTTGTGGTCATTGCAAAGTAAAGATGCACATCATTGTGTATTAAGGATGGTAGATCTTCAGGATTAAGCAATGCTGTGACCTATTCACTTTGAACCTTTGGATCCAGAGGCTAGACTTTCCACATGTGGCCCATGATATGGGCATTAGGTTTGTGAGCATACTTATGTAAGGTGATAAAGACTCCATTCCACCCCTTTGCAATATAACTGTCTCTTTATTTGCATAAAAAAAATTAGTGTTACCTTTCTCCATTGACTATATTTGTAAATAGGAGTTAGTCCATGACTTGAATTTTTTGCACTTCCCATCATGATGGGCAGGAATAGGATCTTATGCATGGAAAAAGCTTTCTCCCAGGAGCCAAGCTCTCCCAGGATTTTCCACACTTGCTCCTAAATGGAAATAATGCAAAAGCGCTTGCCAAGATGGCCAGTCTATTCAACCTCCATGAGCTTTGTGCATCTAATTTGTCACCCGGGCCTTTAGCAAAAATTCTCATGACATGTTCACGTCATGCAACCTTCAAGCTAAAATTATTCATGAAGTGATGGGTATGTCATCCAGATCATAGGGGTTAAAGTTAAACTCTGGCAGTGTCATATAGTCAATATCAAGATGTAGACTATAGTGATTTATTAGATAAAGCAACCATGGTCCTTCTCACTGAATTTGATGTCCTATTGTGGATACCATTATTTTTAGGATGACTTTATCTATTGTTATTGCAAGATCTCCCTCTTTTATTATTCTTTAACCCTTTTGCCTTTCTTCCTCTTTCTGCTGCTTCTGGAGTTCTAAATGTACATTAAATCTTTTTGCTGTGTTTGTAACTCCTTGTCTTGCTTGTCCAGACAATTTGTCAGGACCAGCAGATCAGTGAGGCTATGTATGGAATGCAACCAGCTCTAAAGTAAACAATCTCTTATTTTATCATACATTTTAATGTTTTACATGTTGCAAAGGTCTTGTAACTCCTGTCATACATACTTAACTTTACCTGCAACGGACACACAAATACCCCTTGATAACAAAGGGCCATAAGATTATCTCCCAGTATCATATGGTTGTAACTCATTGTTTACATGCAAATGCTATTGTGCTAGCCTGGCAGTGAAGGAGGATAAGATAAACAATTAATCCCAGATGCTGAAGCAGTGGTCCCGAAGGGTCAAAATATCTGGTCCATCTTAGTCTAACTTGTTGGATGAGGAGTTCTGAACACAGCAGTAGGTCTCGGATAAAAAAAACATATTGGGGGGGGTACAAGAATGGTATAAATATTTGATTAGTAATTTTTTTGTTATTTTAAGTACTAAGGAGAAAACAGTATTGCATGCTGCACAGGTAGCAACTATGGAAATTTCTCTTGGTAGTGTTTTGCATGTCATAGTAATAAGCTCTAAATGTAGATATGGGATGCATAACTTGTGTAGACAAATTCAAACGAGCAAAAGGGCAAGATTACTCAAGGTTGCATGGAATGGAATAGGACTTTACACTTGTGAATGTAGTATTTGATGGAATACTGACAACTCAGTTAGAGAATAATTTGTAAAATCCAAGGCTTTCCAGTTATTTGTTATATTGTGAACTGACTGACTGATTTTGATATTGAACCAACAGGTGTGATTTGGCTGCAAAATGAATCCCAGTGGCCCTAGCTACCCTCTAGCCTCGCTCTACGTGGGGGATCTCCATGCGGATTGTACAGAGGCCATGCTCTTCGAAAAGGTTAGCAGTGTATAGATGTCAGGCCTTCAGGTGATATTTTGTTGATGCTTATATGACTTTAAACACAAAAATGAATTTTTTTTAAGCTTAAACACAAAGACCGAATCCTCGACCCTCGTCAAACACATGTGGCAGGGGCCAGTAAAACCCCCTTCCTAACCACCCTGTGACTTGTCCAAAAAGTTGTAAGTATGATTTTATGAAAGTAATGGATGTGTGGAATAATGGTCGGTAGCTACTTATATTTTCAGGAAGCTACAGAAATGTTTGAGAGGTGACAGCTGTTACAAGTTGCAGTCATGGGGAAAGTAAGGGTGTTGTAATCGGCTGTAGGTATACGTGTATGTTTTATTTTGTCTTGGTATGTATCCTTTGTTCTGCAGAATGTCTCCATTAGATGTTTAGATCATTAGAAAAAACAAATTGTGGAGAGAAGTAATGGAATTTAGAAATGTAGTATATCAGCCCCAATATACTTCTTTGCCAAAATTCCATTGTGAGGAAGTGGCATCAAGAATGCTTTCATTGTAAACATTAGCCATCTGAAGGAAAGGGAAAAATATATCCGCTCAGGATTATTTTAGGTACTAGTAGATGGACAAGAATGCTGGTTACGGAGGAGGTGACAACAGGTGGAACAACACAGTGGGTGGCAAGATGTATTGTTGATTAAGGCTTATATTCTCTAAGGTGGCAAGGATTAACAGATTTGGACTACTGCTGGAAGGTGTAGCTTGCTAGAGCTGCCTCTGTTGGAATGAAGTTTAAATTATGGTTGAAATTAGGTAAGTCTAAGTAAGGATGGACTCTGTTAATTTCCTGGTGTTAACATTAGTTGAGGAATAAATGCAGGCATCTGCCCAGTCCTTCCGATGGTTGGCATCCTGAGAGGACAGCAGACAGCTTATCTTTCATGTCCTTTGCAAATAACGGATCTGTGTTAAAAAATGCGTGACTCTCCCTAAACTCATTTTCTTAACACGAACGTCGTTGGTAAGGGTCGTGGAAGTGCCATCTTATGCCAGCTCCGAGGTGAAAGCCATTGGATGGGATTGGTTGGTTGCCTGGATTGTTGTTTCCTCTGCTATTGTTTACATCTGGAGCTTAATAGAATACAGCCTTATTAAGACTATGCATAATCTCAGCACTTAATTCAGACTTTATGCCAGCAGGCTCATTTCTAGGAAGTTACACATGAGGAAATTTTCCAAATTGTGTGTGTGCTTTCTGCCTTATAGGACTTATTGTCTTCTCTTGACTCATGATCTGGTCACCACATGTTCAGTTTGCTGATACCTCTGTTTAGAATCTTATCTTTTGTCCTACCCTACTCAGTATCTGAGTTATAACCACATGAGGTTGATATATGCTTTCCCATTCTTTAGTTAAGTACAGTTTATTCTGCAGGTACCTTTGATGTCATTCCTCAACTTCTTAAGTAATATCATGATGTTACTGTGTATCCATCAATTTTACAAACTGTAGGCTCAGATGTTCACTAATCCCTCCCTACTTGTCTCCCACCTCTTCTGTGAAGTATAACAATACACCTTTGTTTTCAGTTCTCATCTGCTGGACCTGTGCTCTCCATTCGTGTGTGCAGAGACATGATTACTCGTCGCTCTCTGGGGTATGCTTATGTCAACTTCCAGCAACCAGCTGATGCTGAACGAGCCCTAGACACAATGAATTTTGATGTGATGAAGGGTCGGCCGATCCGAATCATGTGGTCGCAGCGTGACCCTTCCCTTCGAAAATCTGGTGTTGGCAATGTGTTCATCAAGAACCTTGATAAATCTATTGATAACAAGGCCATGTATGATACATTCTCTGCATTCGGGAATATTCTCAGCTGCAAGGTAAGCATGATTTCCTGTGATACCAGTGTCTGACAAAATTTCTGGAAATTTGATTATCAGTCAATGAAGTTGCTACTATTTTCACATTACCATGTATGCATAGGTAGTTACTGTACTTGATACCTTGACCAGTGAACTATATTCTTGACACTAAGGTTCTCTTTCTCTTCTTCAACAGGTTGCTACAGATGAGGCTGGCAATTCCAAAGGCTATGGATTTGTACATTTTGAAACCGAGGAAGCAGCAAGGAGTGCTATCCAGAAAGTGAATGGTATGTTGCTTAATGGCGAGAAAGTTTACGTAGGCAAGTTCATCCCCAGGGCAGAACGGGAGAAAGAGTTGGGAGAGAAGGCTAAACGTTTCACTAATGTGTACGTTAAGAACTTCGGTGATGACCTGGATGATGATAAGCTCTACGAGATTTTCTCGCAATTTGGCAAGATTACCAGTCATAGAGTAATGACAAATGAGGATGGCAAATCCAAGGGCTTTGGTTTTGTTGCATTTGAAGAACCTGAAGCAGCTGAGAAAGCCTGTGAGGAATTCAATGGTAAGGAAATGAATGGGAAGCAGATCTATGTAGGAAGGGCTCAGAAGAGAGGAGAACGCCAAGCGGAGCTGAAGAAGAAGTTCGAGATGATGAAGATCGAGCGCATGAACAGATATCAAGGAGTGAACTTGTACATCAAGAATTTGGATGACACCATCGATGATGAAAGGCTTCGCAAGGAGTTCTCCAACTATGGTACCATCACAAGTGCCAAGGTTATGACTGAGGATGGGCGCTCAAAGGGCTTCGGATTCGTTTGCTTCTCAACACCTGAGGAAGCTACTCGTGCTGTTACAGAGATGAATGGCCGTATCTTGGTCAGTAAGCCTCTGTATGTCGCCCTTGCTCAACGTCGTGAGGATCGTAAGGCACATCTGGCATCTCAGTACATGCAGCGTGTGGCTGGTATGCGCATGCAACAGATGGGACAAATGTTCCAGCCTGGTGGCACGAAGCTACTTCATGCCTACCATGCCACAAGCTCAGCGTTTCTACTTCACCACAGATGGCTCAGATCAGGGCAACTCCTCGCTGTGCCAACTCAGCCAACGGCCCAGGTGCGAGCAGGTGCTCAGGCAGCCAGTGCTTTCCCAATGCAGGCTGCCCCTTACAGATCAGCCCCTCGCCAAGCACAGCCAGCACCCCCAATGTCCGTCCTATTACTGCAGCAGCTGCAACTGCTCAGCAGCAGCAAATCCCGAACTTGATGCAAGCAGCCAGGCCTGTTGCACCAAATGCTGGTGCAGTACCACCTGCACTTTCATCTGCAGCACGCGCCTCAAACTACAAGTATACAACCAACATGCGCAATCCACCAGCTGTGTCTGGAGGCGGCCCAGCTTCAGCTGCTGCAGTGGCCCCTGTTGTCCAGCCCGCTGTACACATTCAGGGACAAGAGCCACTCACTCCATCTATGCTGGCCTCTGCCTTGCCTCAGGAGCAGAAGCAGATGCTGGGAGAACGTCTCTTCCCCTCATCCGCGACATCTATCCCGAGCTTGCGGGTAAGATCACTGGCATGTTGCTGGAGATTGACAACTCGGATCTTCTGCACATGCTCGAGGATCGCAACTCCCTCAAGGCAAAGGTGGAGGAAGCTGTGGCTGTGCTCCAGGCCCATCAGGCCAAGCAGCAGGTCGTGGCTGTTGCTGTTGCTGCTCAGAAGAAGGAGGACATGTAAAAATGCCCTACAAGCAAGCATTCCTCCTATATTTTAACAACCCATTATCAGTGCTGCATGTTGCTTATTTTAGTTTTACAGTTTGTGCCCAGTCATTGGAGTTTTGATTTTTTTGCTGTCATTTGGTTATTTTTGTTTCAAGGTTAATTAGCGATATTTGTAAAGGACATCATTTATTATTTGCACGCTGTCTTTTTTTTTTTTTTTTTTTTGGACTCCAATAGATGCGGCATAGTTTAGGTTCGACCACAACCACGTGAACAGTCTGTCAAGTAGGTGTCATATATATACAAAAAATCTAAAAAAAAATCGTAAAATATAAAAACCCATAAGACAGTAGCCTACTATTAATGCAGTTGATTATAATGTAACACATCGTTCATTATAATTAACGCCAACGGCAGGTCAGAACATTGTCAACCAAGAATGTTCTAGAAGAGAATGGGAGTCAGGTTTTAGTTGATCAGTTCCGACATGCCTGTTTTAAAAGGTGAAAAAAATAAAATAAAGGAAAAATAAAACCTTAAAAAACTTTGTATAAAAAACAAAAATGCCCCACCATTGGGCGAAAAATCCGATAACAGTAACATCTCTATAAAACTCTAAAAAAACTTTTGTAACAGTGTGCTACGAAACTCAAGGAAAAATTGGCAACAATAAACTTCTGTTTCTATAACCTTATATTGATACTTTATTATCCATATCTTATTGTTCAGGTGTATAGATATTCATGTAAGGGTCTTTTTCAAACAATGTTCATTTCTATTAACCAATTTCTGTAAAATGAAGCTCAATCTGTAAGCGGATGCCAACAGCAATCCCGCTAGTCAGACTGGTCGAAAGTTGAATGTGTAGGTCATTTAAAGGTTAACAAGTTCTAGAATTGCATTAGCTGTACAAGTCGTGATGTGGAATTTGCTACCAAGGAATTTACACATTTTAAAGTAACTCACTGCAAACAATTCCGAAGACAAAAATGGAGACCCAGCAAACAAATAGTTCAAAGTAAAGTTCAGTCATTTTGTTCCTTGACAGAACGTAGTAAACATTATACATTTTCAATCCTCTTGCCACTCAGACCTCTAGATCATTGTTCAGCATTCCATTCTTGTGTCCCCCCTCCCTGACTTTCACCATCCAGATTCCACCCTGTCATCCGTGCCGATTGGTCAACCGCTCTCACTCGAACCCTCGCGAATACTCTCCCTTCCCACTCGCTCTCATTTCTCCATTCTCTCCCTGCTCCCCCCACTCTCATTCTCTTTTCTTTTTCCCCTCATTCTCTTTTTCTTTTTTCTCCTCTCCCTCTCATCCCTTTTAATTCTTTACTGGAATGCAGTAAGAAGGAATGGTTGCAAAGCAAATTTACTTTTTTGTTTGGTTGTTCCTTGCTGCATCCCCCCCCTACACACACCCACCCCCATTCCTCACACACACCCACGCCATTCTCTCACAACACACCCACGCACACACACACACAACACACACGCCACACACACACACACACACACACACACACACACACACACACACACACACACACACACACGCACACACACACACACACACACACACACACACACACACACACACACACCACTACACCACTCACACACATACACACCACTCACACACATACACACACTCACACACATACACACCACTCACCACACACACACACACCACCACACACACACACACACCACTCACACACATACACACCACTCACACACACACACCACTCACACACCACACACACACCACACACACACCACACACACACCACACAACACCACACAACACTCACACACACACACCACACACACACACCACACACACACCACACACACACAACACCACTCCACACACACACACACCACTCAACACACACACACACCACTCACACACACACACACACCACTCACACACACACACACACACTCACACACACACACCACTCACACACATACACACCACCACACACACTACACACCACTCACCACACATACACACCACTCACACACACATACACACCACTCACACACACATACACACCACTCACACACACATACACACCACTCACACACACATACACACCACTCACACACACATACACACCACTCACACACACATACACACCACTCACACACACATACACACCACTCACACACACATACACACCACTCACACACACATACACACCACTCACACACACATACACACCACTCACACACACATACACACCACTCACACACACTCACACCACACACACACACACACACACACACACACCACACACACACACACACACACACACCCTCACTCTCTCTCACACTCACTCACTCTCCTCACACTCACTCACTCTCTCTCACACTCACTCACTCACTCTCTCACACTCACTCACTCACTCTCTCTCACACTCACTCACACTCATCTCTCACACTCACTCACTCACTCTCTCTCACACTCACTCACTCAGCTCTCTCAACACCACTCACTCACTCTCTCTCACACTCACTCACTCACTCTCTCTCACACTCACTCACTCACTCTCTCTCACACTCACTCACTCTCTCTCACACTCACTCACTCTCTCTCACACTCACTCACTCTCTCTCACACTCACTCACTCTCTCTCACACTCACTCACTCTCTCTCTCACACTCACTCACTCTTCTCTCTCACACTCACTC